CACCTTTTGCATGTTGCATGACTTACAGCGTTCTCTCCATATGCAGCACAAATCATTTCAGTGGCTTCAGCAGCATTTTTCTTCAGATGAAACGCGAAGTGGATGGAAAATCGAATATGCTCTTTTGTAATTGCCATCGTGAACACTACTGATTTTTGAGGTTATGTGCATCAAACGCCAAACCGTATCGCATTTCAGGAGGTTAAATGTTACTGTTTTAAAACCCCAAAAGGGCGGGAAGATATATAAAATTTAAATTGTTATTTCGGTTGTATCAAATCTAAAGCTCAGAACTTTTTTGTACACCTAATAATATCTTTTAATATATAATAATTTTATTATATATATTATAACCTATAATTTGTCTGTATTTATTTCATTCCCGCATAATTTTTCTTCTTTTAGAACTATAATACTATTGGTTGAGAAACATCGTTTTAACATTTTTCTGTGCCTGTACTTCTTATCGATAAAGTTATACTGTCAGTTGTCGCTTGTAACGATTGCGTCGGTAGTGATGGTGTATAGAATGATGTTTGATGATGTGTATCGGTCATGCAAGCGATAGACGTTATTGTACCGAACCGATAGCTATCGGAAGGCATGTACAGAATACGGCCCCAGATACTGGGACGGGATGAACCTTTTATCCCCACTTACATCTAATATTTTCCATTTAGGGGCCTCTCAATTAACTTAACTATTTTCAGTCAGACCAATGCATCATTTTGATAAAACTACTTTTCAAACACTATGCGTCTACGATCATGATATCACGCGATCAGTATTATAGATCGATAATGAGGTTCGCATTTCGTGAATCTCGTGTTCGCCTAACGAAACATACACTGCCGATGGTAGGAATTAACAGTATATAACGGTCTTGATATGCACCAGTGCACATTGGTGTTCCCAGTTGAAATCGCTATAACATAAATAGTTGGTGCGTTGTGTTCCGTTTAAGCGAGCGGTCACGTCGTGAGCGACGTCGACATGTCCGGCTCTGGCATGTGCAATATTGCCGGAGTGTTACGGCTTACACATGGTTCACCTTTGCATGAGCGGGGGATCATTTTGATTTGTTCGGATTTGCTGCGATCTGGCTTGGACAATGGACACCTTGATTGTTCAATCGTATTTTTGAGATCCATCTGAATTTCACTTCTTTACGTTTAATGTTAATTGCGACATGAATTGTTTTTTACTTATTTTTTACTTATCGTCTATTTTTTCGCGCTTTATATCTGAAGAGGGCTCAATCTCGTAGCCGAAACTTGTTATATATTATATATTTTTATACATGTTTATACATTTACACATTTATATGTGCCGTTCCGTATTTGTGCATGTATCGTCGCCTAATAATTTTAACTAATTAAATGTTTTTTTAATCTACTGAATCTTCTTTCGCCGTTTATTTGTTTGTTTATTTACGTTTACATTTAAGAGTCTTTACATCGTTATTATAAATATTTGGCTCATACATTATTAAATTCATGATTTTTTAATACATAAATGTTGCATAAATAAATATGCATACTTGTCTATAATATCCTATATGTTGTAAAAAAATTACAATTTTTTCTCTGCAGTTATCATTACCGTTGATAATCAAACTTTGACGATAACACTGAAATCACAATTTTAAAGAAAAATCGAGTATTAATTGAGTACTAAATGCATAAATACGTCTACTAATAAATCATAAAATTAGTACAATATTATCAGTTTTTAAGTCTTTTTTTAACTCTTCAATATTTATAAGGACGTGAACTGTTGTAAGAATGTCGGTCTTCAATATGTCGTCGATGGTAATGCTAATTTCGGCGGTCGGACACAACATTCAAGAAGTTTTAGCCGTCGATCGGACACCTTGAGTAGTGCTTAATGCCGGTGGTGCTGTAACTTGCAAGCCTTACAACTCGAAAAGTATTTATTGAAAATGAAGTTATAGTGTTTTGGAAAGCTCTCGAGATAAGCTACAAGAATATGTAATGAAATATATGGGATTCCATTTAAGAAATTGATGATGACTTCTTTAGGTGACCTTTAAACAACTTTGACCTTTTCAAGGTCAAACCAGTAGTACCATCTTATGTCTCCCTCCAAATCATATAACTTTTGTCTGAAACATTTTTCTTTAAAATGCACTATTCAAGAGATATTTTAATGCGTCAATTAAAATGATACACTTTGTATATAGGGTATCCCATAAGTTTTTGTCAACCGCTTTTGTGTATGTAGAGCGGACTAAACTGAGTTGAAAAGTCCTTTACTATTTTGTAATAAATGGTTAACGAGATATTAATTACTAAAAATCGCTGAATATTGGTTTTTAATAATATTTTTATTTATAATAAATATTGTCAATTTTACAGAAAAACATCGAGAGACAAAAATTGTTTATTTTTTTCTCATAAAGTTCTGAGAACTTTTTCAGAATTTTTAAATACTATATTTTTTCATATTGATAAAAATAAGAAAATGCATTATTAAAAAATTGATAAAAAATTTCGAAAAAATTTTTAGAGTTCTATGAGAAGAAAATAAATAATTTTTGTCTCTTGCAGTTTCTATAAAATTGATAGTATTTAAGTAAAAAATTATTAAAGACCAATATTCGGCAATTTTTAGTAATAAATATCTTGTTAACTATTTCGAAAATTGTAAAATGGTGGAGGACTTTTGGACTTAGTTTAATCCGCTTTATCTATACAAAAGCACTTGGTAAAAACCTAACGAGACACCCTGTATACAGGGTATCTCAGAAATAAGGTAGGAGCCGCATTGGGGGCGTATAATGGATCAAGAAGAATAAAAAAGTCTGATATCATTTTGAGATATTTGCTGTAGTTTTCGAATAAACCAATGTGAAGCCGCGTTGCGCGAATTCGTAGCTCGCTTTACTCGATGGCGGCGGTGGTGCATCGCCGAGTGAGGCGCGATGGGCCGTGCTACGAATTCGTGCGGCGCGGCTTCACCGCACATTGGTTT